GGGAGGGGAGGGGAAAGATAACAGCAAAATATCTGAAAGACTGTAATACTGACAGAACCTTTGGTGTTACTTGGATATATTTTTTTGGTATGTATTTTCTTTATCTTCCAAATTCCTTCAAGGTATTAGGTTAACATCAAAACAGAAGAAAACTTTTATCTTAACTTTTAAATTGCTCACTGGAAACAATTCAACAGTTATTTACTTTTATAATACGTTGGAAGGTAGCAGTTCACTGGGCCTTCACTGAGGAACCTCAAAAAGTGCTTAAGTGAAAAAGAGGTCAGTCAAATCATTCAGAAGGAACCAAGCAGAATTTCTGCCAAAAGATTTCTTACCAAAGTTTCTGCTCCCACAGGCTGACATACAAACCCCACTTTGGGGTACACATAATAGTAATATATTACATTTTGCATCGTTTAACATAACAATAACAACTATGATAATAACACTCCCTTCCAAAGAGTAACTGCCATATATCAGGCATTTGTGCAAGGGGTTTTACAGTAATCCGCAGTTTAGTAGTATACTGTGAAATGCTTCACAACCATGTTATACAGAACGTATGGGCCACTTTAACAATTCCAGAAACTAAAATCTGGAGAGTGTAAGGGACTTGCCCAGAGCCACACAACCAAGGAAGGGACCCAGGAGTCTGACCCAGGTCTCATGGCTCCTGTTCTTCTACCACGCCACGTGCTACAGTGCGCCAGTATGGCAGGCAGTTAGAAGCACTGATTCTGGAGACTGATCTCATCAGTTTGAATCCTGGCTCTGCGACCTTGGACAAATCACTTACGTTCTCTGTGCTACAGCTTTCTCATCCATAAAATACAAATATTAATAGTATCTAGGTTGCAGGGCTGTTAAGAATCAAGGCATGTATTTCATATAAATCACTTCCATCTGGAAGTATATGTAGACTCTGAACAAATTCATTTAAGGAATTTGCCATCAAAAGTATATAGTCTTGGTCCTGGCAGGTATGCTCAAAGGGTCAAGGGAATGTACCTCGGTTGCATATTCGATCCCCACCCCCAGCTGGGGTGCATGTATGTAGGAGACAACCAATCAATGGGTCTTGCTCACATCAATGTTTCTCTTTCTCTCTCTCCCCCTCCTCCCTCCCTTCCACTCCATCTAAAACTCAATGGAAAAAATATCCTTGGGTGAGGATTTTTTTAAAAAGTATGCAGTTTTGATTGACATAACACAACCAAGTAGACAATGCACAAATTTTCAGTGATAACAGACTTATAGTGCTTACTACGTGCCAAACCTTGTTGTAAGCACCTTGTACGTATTAATTCACTTAATCCTCATAACAAAAAGTCCCAAGAAGTCTACCATGCTCACATGACTTTCTGGGAACAATTTCGTAGGGTTTCGTAATATCCCTTCCTTTACCTGCACTCTTCGTAGGTGAGCCACACGCTCCTCAATGGAGGTCTGCAAGGACAAAGGGACTTTCAGAATCTCTTGGTAATTGTCCATTAGAAACGTCACCAACCTAGCAGCTAATAAATCATCCAAGTCCACTTCATCCCTGGAGCACAAGATGCAATGGGAAAATGTCTGAATCATCTAAAAAAGAAAAAGAAAAAAGGTGGGGGGATTTTAAAATAAATACCAATGATTTTTTTTTCTTACTCTGAATTGAGTCCAATTTAATTTGCAAAAAGCAAGTGTGACTAGTCAGTGAGAGATGGCCCATAGCACAGGGTGCACATCCTACCTGGCCCCTGGCCACACAAGTCATCTCAGATGGGCTGATTTTCTTATTAATCAGCATGAGCAGAATGTGCACCTCATCTCACAGAGACTTGGCAGAGATGCTTGTCTAAAAGCTTTTAAAACCCTTCCACAGATGGTTTTAAATATATATTTAAACAAATTCCAAAAATTAACATTACCACCATGACCCTGATCATGTAGCACTTCTAAGTTTGGTGTACTTTATAGCCATTTAGTCTGATAATATCCTAATTTCATTATTGATTTTTTTTTAATATACTAGCACAGTTTGTGTGCCTCAACCATTACACATTTTCCTAGTTAACTTATTTTTCTCTAGGGTTTTGAATGTACATTTGACAGTGACCTTTGAAGAAAACTGTGAGAATTTACAAGAAGTGCATTAAGTGATGTGAGTCTTTAGAGTAAGCAGAAATACAAAAAATACTATAGCAGCTGCTGCCACAGAATTCACAGTAACTACTCCATCCTTATTGCTATCCTTTGGATGGATTTTCTTTTTCCTTTCTTATTAATGTTATTGCTGACAATCTTATTTCAAAGCCTATAAGCATGCAATTCTGTTTACTAAGATGTCACTTTCTCAGCACTGCAGTGATGCTTCATCTTCACTCATATTTATGTGGACTGAGATTCTTTACAGGGAGACAACGGACCCCAGGAACCCCACGAATGCCTTGAAATGTATGCAAAATTTCACACATGCATTCTCCTGGGGAATAAGTGCCAACTCTTCTTCAGCTTTTCAGAAAGGTCCACCAGCCTCCCTACCCAACCACACAAAAAGGGTCAAGAATCACTCCACAGGGCACTGAGTACTCTTCTGATCTTACTCCGCACTTCTCAAACTGGGCCAGGGGGCCCCCAGGGGTACACAGGGGTTCACCAGGACATGGAAATAACATGCACATACCAACGAAGCATCAATTTGACTCCAAGACTTAGAGAGAAATTAAGAAATTTAGCTAATAAGCAATTCTAAACATAAACCCTACTGTAAAACACACGCTGACATAACAAAGTAATATTCAAAATTCCTCAGTTTTCAGCAAAGTTGAGCATATTTTAAGAAAAAGCCTCCCTCATGGAGGCGCAGGTTCTCTTGCTCCAGCTGTCACGTCCAACCCCGCATCTTACTCTTCCCTCACTCAGCCCTGTGTAGGCTGCATCTCTCCCACTGGTTGGAGTAACGGCTCTGCAACCCTTTTGACCTGGAGGAGAGAGCGTTGTTTTCTTGAGAGATCACTTATCCTTTCTGTCCACCCTTCCTTTTCTATGTGTTGACAGTACACAGGCATCTCTACACTCAAGAGTCCACCCCTGCTCACTCTTTTATTATATTCGTTAAGACACCAAGACCAAAAGTACAATACTAGTCTGGGGGGATCCTAAGCCATGGCTCTTTGAGCAAGCCTGCCATGCACCTTCCTCTGGTTCCAAGCCAGTAAACTTTACTCAGGTGAATTTTATTTCAAAAACTCAAGTCATGTTCGATGTTAGAACTCAGCCTACCAGTGTTCGGGTCCCAAGGCCATCGCAAAGTGGTGGCATCTCCTTATTTGAGCAGATCCTTGTCATCATCCTCATCAACAGCTGTAACTTTCTCCTGTTTTCAGGTGGCAGGAGGAGGCAGCAAATCTGAAATGCTTCAATGGCCATTTTCTCTTTCTGTAACAAACCTGATTTAGAAAGAAAGTTTTTACTCTATAAAAACCTATATCCTAATTGACTCTATTATGTTCATATTTTTACAAAATATGTATTACTAAAATTATGTAAAACATGTTTAATATATTCAACTATACTGGGCGAATTGATTATAGATCCACTGTCACTCATAAATCAGCACAGAAAATGCAAATCACCAACCAGTGTTGACAAATATATAGAACAAACACAGCCATTTCCCCACCACAACCTTGACAGATACACCCGAGTTTTCATAGCACTTTTCCACTGAACCAAGAGCAGTCAGGTTGAGCCCAACCTAAACCCTAACATTTACTCTGTTAATAGGTCCAAGATAACATGAGCAAGTACATGAATGTGCCATCACTGCCCTGAATTCTTCCCTTTGTATTATTTCTTCATGAAAAGCAGATCACCATCTTACACGATTCTCACAGACCAAATAATAGAACTAATTAATGCTCCTATAGCCAATCCACTGCCAAATGGCTCTGCTTCTCTCTAAATAGCACCTGCCCAACAACCCTTCCTCCCACTTAAGCTATTTTTTCTAGTTAAGGGGGCCAATTCAATTGCGCTACATGCCATCCCTCCTCACCCAGTATGATTTTGCTAAAAATTAGGGTGTTCTAATATAATATTGTCTGCTCTTCGTCCCTATTTGTCCCTGGACACAGCCATTCCAAGCCAACTAAAGAGATGAAACCGCTTTCATCAATTTACTGGTCCAGATCCAACCTTTTCAAGTTTCTAGACTCTGATTTGGCAAAACTATCTTTTACATTCCAAAATATTTTCTCACCATGTATGATATGCCAGGAACTATGCTAGGTCGTGGAATTATGAAAATATGCCAGATCCCTTCTTTGGAAGAGTATATTCCTTGTGAAAAGGAGAGACCCACAAAAAATAAATGGCAAAACGTAAGTGTAAGAGGTACTTTAAGAGACCTCTGTAAGGGGCATATTAGGGGAACAGTAAGTCACTCAGTATGAAAGCAGCATAGGCCGTGAGGTAAGGGCTTAGTATACAAGCGAAGCTAAAAACCTCATCAGCAGACATGAGACCTTAGGAACCTGGAATACCAGACTAAGGAGCTTGAGTTTGATCCCAAAGGCAATGGATGTGCAGTATGATATCCCAAAGGGGGCAGGGGGAGGGAGTTTTAATATGCCAAGTTCAGATCCTAAATGTTCACCAGAAATACTGCTGCTAATTATCATTATCATCTATGTAAATCTGCTTTCAATTCTACATAATCAAATCCATGAAAAGAAAAAAGGTTTATGTCCATATTTTAATTCATTCTTTCGTTTATCTAATAAATATTTATTAAGCCCTGCCCAGTCCAAGAACTGTTTTAGAAAGGCTTCAGTGGGAAATAAAATCCTGTCTGATCTCATGGCACTCCCTTCCCAGTAGATAATAGGCAAAGAGATATATAAATATGACGTGAGGTGAAAAAGTGCAGTGAAGAAAATGAAGAAAAGGAGCTGGAGGGTGATGGGAAAACACTAGGGTTTTGGGAAAGGTCTCTTTCTGATGGTGACATTTGAGCAGTCATCTGAAGGAATGACAGTAAGCCAGGGAAATATCAAAGAGACAAATTTTCAAGGCTGAGGAAATATCAATTAAAGATTTTAATATGGGGGCATGTTTGAAATGTTTGAGGAACAGTAATGAGGCTCGTGTGAAGAGAGAACAGTGTGTAATGAATATTCAAATCAGAAGTGAGGTTAGAGAGGAAGCCGAGGGATACACAGAACCTTGTAGACCATCATTAATGACTTCCGGTTTTATCAGAAGTAACCTGAGGAGCCACTGGAGGATTCTGTGTAATACAAGGGTAAGGCAAAAGTAGGTTTACAGTTTTGAGTACACTAAACAGTTTATACTTGTAGTATTATTATTTATTAATAACTCTTATTTTCCACATGAACTGTAAACCTACTATTGCCACACTCTGTATGAACGTGAAACACCCTAAGACACAGTGAAATCTGACTCTCTTTAAAATTAGAAAAGCAAGGTATCTGTGGGCTAATGTGATAGAAGGCTTCATGGAAAAGTGAAGGCTTTGTGGAGAAATAAATCTAGAATTTAACGAGTTCTTACCAGTTCCAACTGCAACTTTATCTGAACATTGCATCTTCCTTCCTCCTTGTTACCCACTTACAGTCTATTCTCTACATAGCTGCCAGAGTAAAAAGTGATTCAGGAATGACAGACAAAGGAATTAGCAGAAAAATATGTTACATATTCATAGGTATTCTAACTATGCTTACATATTTAAAAGAAATATGAACACAGTGAGAGAAATGGAAATATAAAAGAGAGCCAAATGGATCTTCTGGAGATGAAAATTACTAAGCCTGAAACGTTCACTAGATGATAACCATTACAGATTAAACACTGCAAAAAAAAAAAAATCAAGAACCTTAAATACACAGTCATATAAACTAGCCAAAATAGAAGGAAAGAGAAAAAAGTGAGTGTGTGTGGGGAGGGGGGGTAAGGGCGGATGAACAGAGCTGCAGCAACCTGTGGAAAAATATCAAATGATCTAACATATATGTAATTAGAAAAGGGAAAGGAGGTGCAGAAAAAAATTTGAAAAAATAATGGCCCAAAAGTTTCCAAAGTTGATGAAATCTATAAATGAACAGATCAAAGAAATTCACTGAATCAAAGCACAATAAACACAAAGAAAAAACACATAGAGGCACATTGTAATTACATTACTGAAAATCATAGAAATCACGAGAGAAAACTTCAAAAGCATCAGAGGAAAAAAAGACACATTATACACAGAGGAACAAAAATAAGGAATTACCAAAGACTTTTCATCAGAAACTATTTAAGCCAGAAAACAAGAGATCGACACCTAAAAGAACAAAAACTTTTAACTTAGAATTCTGTATCCATTGAAAATATCTTTAAGAAGATAGTCAAAACAAAGACTTTTCAGAGCCCCATGCCCCTCCCCAAAAGTAGAGCATTTGTTTTCCAATACACCTATACTATAAAAAATGTTAAGGACCCTTTCCAAGCAAGGGAAAATGACACCAGATGAAAGCCTGGATCTACACAAAGGAGTGAAGAATGCCAGGGAAGATTAATATGTGCATAGATAAAACCTGTTCTATGTTTCTTAATTTCTTTGAAAGAAAATTGTCTGTTTAAAGAAAAAACAATAACAATGTGTAGTACGATTTATAATATATTATTAAAAAACATATGTAGGACTAAAATGTAATGAAACAATAGTACAAAGAGAGAGAATGAAAGAATGCCATTGCATGTAGTAACATTATATGTCAAATAATATAATATTTAAGGTAGGCAAAGATTTCCTGACACACAAAGCATGAGCCATAAAAGAAAATGATAAAATAAACTTAATGAAAATTTTAAAAATTTTGCTTTTTAAAAGGCATTTTTAAGAAAAAGAAAACCACAATCCAGAGGAAAATATTTGCAATACACATAGCTAACGAAGGACTTAGATGCAGAGCATGAAAATAACTCTTATAACTCAGTAATAAAAGAACAAACAGACAATAAAAAAATGACAGAAATTTCAACAGACACTTTACAAAAGAAGATACATGAATGGCCATTGAGCAAATGAATAGACACCTAACACTACTAGTCATCAGAAAAATGCAAATTAAAACCAAAAAGATATACCATTACACACTCACTTGAGTAGCTAAAATTTAAAAGACTGATGATGTCAAGTGTTGAAGAAGATGTAAAGCTACTGGAACACTCATATCACTCATATCACGGGAATATAAAATGTCACAACTATTTTGGAAAACAGCGTGTCACTTTCATATAAAAGGAAACATACATTTTCCATACGATCCAGAAATTACACTTCTAGCTATTTTCCCAAAAGAAGACATATATTCATACAAAGTCTTATACACGGATGTTCATAACAGCTTTATTTATAACAGCCCAACACTGAAAATAATTTCACATTTCCCTCAACAGGTGAATGGGTAAATAAATTGTGGACTATCCAGCAATAAAATACCCAGCAATAAAATGTAACAAACTACCGGTACTGGCAATAACATGCACAAAGTTCAAAAAGATTAATTGAGCAAAAGAAGTCAGATACAAAATACATACTGTATAATTCCACTTGTATGAAACACTAAAACAAGAAAACAATCTATACAGACAGAAAGCTTCTATTTCTGGTTGTTTGGTGCAGTGATGGGGTTGAGGACTGACTAAAAGAGAGCACAAGAGAGTTTTTAAGCGTAATGGAAATGGTCTACATTTTATTTGTAATTAACTAGTATAAATTGACCAAAACTCACTGAACTGTACTTAAAATGGGCGCATTTTAATTTTGTTAATTATACCTCAATAAAGTTAATTTAAAATAAATAAAGAGAACTTAAGAGACCTAAACATGAAATAAAACCTTAAAAAATCTTAGAAATATAGAATCTCTCTGTGACAGATATAGAAAGATTTCATGCAACACACAAGTTAATTTGACCAAAGTAAAACACAAAAGCTCTTTACCTTATGATTAACATCAAAGACAAGCCACAGACTAGGAAATGATATCTGTCAGGCTAAAGGTAAAAAGGATTAATATTCAGAATATATTTTTAGAATGACAAAAAAGAAAAACCAAAAGAAGAGTAATGGGTAGAAAAAGTATTTCACCCAAGTAAAAACCCACATAAACAATAAACAGCAATAAGATTCCTTTTCACACCCATCAGAACAGAAAAATTAAAAAGCCTGATGAAATCAAGTATTGGTAAGGAAATGGTCAAATAGGAATATGGTGCTAATGGGGGTGTGTAAATTGCTGGAACCACTCTGGAAAACAATTTGCTAGAAGTAGTATTTACCAAACAACCTAGAAATTTTGTTTCTACACATAGAACATTGCAAGATGTAGTATTAAATTAGGGGGGTGGGCGCATGAATGTCTGTTATATTAGTATCTGTTCTG